AATGTTTCAAAGACTGCCTACTGATGCTGGGGTAGGCAGCGCAGCAACAAGAACAACAACAAATTACCTTTGTATAGTGCTATTCACGTTGGGAGGTCGTCCTAGAGCGCTGGTCAGTAAAGGATATGACCCGAACTGGGCATTGGGATCCGGAGGGATGGAGGGCAGGGAGGGTGGGGGTAGGAGGGTGATCGAAAGCACAATGAAAGGGGAAGGTGTTGAGCTGGGCCTTGAAGGAGGCAAGAGATGGGATGAAGGCACTGTGGAATGGGTTGGGGCAGAAAGGCTGAAGGCCCGATCGCCAATGGTGGGGCAGACAGGGCAAGGGACGTGGAGCAGGCCAGAGTCCACTGAGCGGAGAGCGCGGACAGGAGGAGGACACAGAGTTAGGGAAGGGGCAAGGCCGTGGAGGGCTTTGAAGGTGAGGACAAGGATTTTGAACTCGATCCTCTGGGGATGGGGAGCCAGTGAAGCCGGGCGAGGATGAGTGTGATAAGGTCACGGAGCTTGGTGCGGAAGAGGACACAAGCTCCAGAGTTCTGAATAATCTGCAGCTGGTGGAGGCTGGTGGTAGCTAAGTAGAGAGAGCAGTCGGGGCAATGGGGTTATAGAAGCTCAAAGAGGTAGGATAGCACTAAAGTAAAATACAATGCAGAAGCACAACTTCCAGTTTGTCAACAACAACTTGCATTTTTATAGCGGCCTTCACGCCTGACAAGAGTCTCGGAACACTTATCAGAGAAAGTGAGATCATATACCGTATCCCAACCAGTCAAGAAATTGTATTAAGCTGGTTAAATTGTATTAAAAATGACTGAGGTAAAGGATTACATTCCCATATGTATGTGTGGTAATGAGTATCAAGGCCTGTACATACCATCCACTTTATCTCATTAGCATCCAGAAATCTGTCAGCAATCCCTTTATTCCCAGCTCTGGGTGTTGATACCACTGTACTCCTCAAGCCTCTTTCTGAAGCTGGAGCCGTACACTAAACCCGATTTAATTATTTGGCCCCCAGTGATCACCCTGACTAAACTGTGCCATTAACCCTGCAACTCACTGAGGTGCTTCAGGACGGTTTGCACTCTCTGTAGCAACACCATTGGCCAGGCTACATTTCCACAGACGTGACCAAGAAGGGGCCTCAGTATATCCATGGAAGAAATACCGGCCACAATCATTCCACACAGAAAGTATGGTTTCCGTGCCATAAACCCTTAAGCTTTCAATATTTAAATCACCAATGCAACAGCAACTTGCATTCATTTAGCGCCATTCACGCAGTTGTGCCATTAGCTTGCCAGAGCCTGACTCCATTAGGAGGATTCTCATCTCTGAGTTGGAAGGCTGTGGGTTCAAGTTCCCAAGTTGTGACTTTGAACTGACGGTCTAAGCTGACACTTTATAATTATAATAATCCTTGCATTTGATATAGCAATTACCAATTATCAATTTTCAATTCCTGGTGTTTCTTGCAAACTTGCCCTTTACAATCCTGGACCTCTGCCCACTTGTCCTGATATAATAATAATAATAATAATAATCCTTGCATTTGATATAGCGCTTTTCACGTCGGGAGGACTTCCCAAAGCGCTTCACAGAACACACTGTAAAGTGAATTGACTGTATATTTGCAGGCGAACGCGGCAGCCAATTGCGCACAGCAATGTCCCACAAACAGTCGTAGATTAAAAATGACCAATTTATTATTGTTTTTGGGGGTTTTTGGAGGGATTATTATTAGGCGTGTGGAGTAAGGAAACTTGCCCAAGGTTTCGCCCTCTGCCTGGAATTGAACTCAGGTCTCTCGCTTGCAAAGCGAGTGCTCTAACCACTGAGCTACAGGACTCCAATATCTTGCCATACAGTATTTGGTTCAATGGGTGGTTGCTCACAAGTGATGTGGTTCTAAGGGGGGGAAAAAAAAGACCAGGAAGGTTTCTGGATAATCCTACTGCTCTGTGTTTTAGGCCTTATAGTATATCCCTGAGCTTGGGGAGGGAGAAACAATCCTGGTTACGGTGCAATGCTGGAAATGAAGCATATGTGAACATCATGTGAGAACAGCATCACATTCAGCTGTGAGGTCCAACTGTCACATCGCCTGCATCTCACTATTCCAATTCACACATAATGAATGGCCTCTCGGTCAAAGGACTAGACCTTTCTCTTTGACCGTGCCTTCAGCTCCCCTCTCGACTCTCTATCCCCTCCTCACTCCCTCCCTTCCCTCCCCCTGACCATTTCCCCCTTGCTTGGGTCCTGACCCAACTGTCCAGCGCCTTGGGACGTCCTCCCGACGTGAAAGGCGCTCTATAAATGGAATCTTGTTGTTGTTGTAGAAGACTTATTTTAACCTGTGGATTTAAACCTAACGAGCCAACAGAAGAGGACAGAAGAAAAAAACAAAACCTCCCCTGTTGTTTGGATATAATATAATCCTTGCATTTGATATAGCACCTTATCATGTCATTGAGACATCTCAAAGCGCTTCACAGAATACACTGTAAAGAGAATTGACTATATTTTGTGGGCGAAATGGGGCAGCCAATTGCGCACAGCCCTGTTCCATAAACAGTTGTGGAATGAGTGACCACATTATTATTATTTTGTTTAACAGATTATTAACCCCAGAAAGTGATCCGCCAATCGACTAATAATCGGGTTCCTACTTACTGCTAGCTAATAGAGGCATGTGGAGTAAGGCAACTTGCCTAAGGTTTCACACTGCTTGGGAATCTAACCCGTGCCCTATCGCCTGCGAGGTGAGCGGTCTAACCAATACGCTACAAGCCTCCACTGGCGGATATCAGTTTGTAGGAATTGTAAATATAGGAAAATTGCAAATATTTATTGTGGAAAAAATCCTACCTAATTATAAAGGGACCTTTATAACATGCAAAATAAAAGATTTTCTTTTGGAGTATATTTATTAAAGGCTATTTAACTGTTCCTTTCTGTACTGTTTCTTGAGCTAAGGTAGCGTTTACAAAAAAAGTAAAGTATTGCATCCAACTGGGGTTAGGTAGAGAGCTGACAAGTGGGTTTCATTAATAAACACTTATATTTCCCAGTCATGTTCCACCACTTTTGAGAATTCTCACCATGGCTATCAGACAGCTTAAATGCATTGGAGCATCTCACCTGAGATAAAAGGAAGACTTTGTAATGAGCTGTCTGACTGCAACAATCCTTCTGTGGCCTCAGTGTTATTTAGTTTTTGACTAAGGATGTCAAATTGGACTTGGGAGCTAAATCTAGAATAAACCAAGCAAAATCACTTCCTTCCTCTGAGGATTAAGAGTAAAGCCTTACTACTTGTAGGCTGTGTATCTGTCTTCGATATAATAACCCAATCTCTCAGCATATGATTTATAGAAAATGAGAGTCTGCAAGAAATAAATAAAATGATAACAACAATCATAGTCCTTGTAATTGATAAAGTGCCTTATCACATCCTTGAGACATCTCAAAGGTGCTTTACAGAATATACTGTTAATTGAATTGACATATATTTTGTCGGCGAATATGTAAAATGTAAAATAAAGGGAATTTTGGAGATGAGTCCCAAAATCTGGATTTACTTTGTAAAAGGAGGAATAGAAATGTAAAGATCTGGAAAAGACCAATGTGTTCCAGCTGAATATTCAAAAAGAGATAGATGAGAATGAGATAAGAAGTTATTAGAGGAACCCAGCACATGAGAAGAAATTGCACCTGGGTATAGATTTATTCTATTTATGTTGCAACATTTTGCCCACAAATATACAATCAATTCACTTTACAGTCTGTTCTGTGAAGCGCTTTGAGACGTTTAGAAGATGTGAAAAGCGCTATATCAAATGCAAAGATTATTATTATTATTTCAGAACATCTAGATATTGGCAATTTCTTAAACATAGCCTTTAATTTTTAAGTTGTTTTTCGGAATTCAGAAAAACTGCTTCAAAGTTAAGATTGAATTCAATAATTTGTTAAATTCTGGATATTCTAAAATGCTACAGAAATAATATGATATAGCACCTTGTCATGTTGAGAAGTCTCAAAGCGCTTCATAGGATTTTAGTCAGGTGTGTATCAGTAGGCAAACAGCAGCCAATTTGCACACAGCTATGTCCCACAAAGAATATTTTATAGGGACACTGGGAAAAAGTCCCTTCTCTTTTAAAACAGCCCCATGGGATCTTTCTTATCCACCTAAGCGGGCAGACAGGATCTTGGTTTAATGTATCACCATCCAACAGACAGCTCCTCCAAACAATGCAGCACTCCCACATATAGTATCGGAGTTTCAGCCTGGACTATATCAGTTCCAATTCCCGACGTGCGGCTTCAAGTAAGCCTAAGCTCCAGTGAAATTTCTATCCCAAGATTAATTACGCCCAGGCTCAGTTCAATGCCAATATTTTCTGTTAAACTAATAGAGGCTTCAGTTTCTGAAACCTTGGAGAAATAAATTACTGTAATATCACTGGCTTCTCTCAGGTTTGATTCTGAGTTCAATTCATCCTCTCTACGCAAAGTTAAATAACCTGATGAAACTGCATAAGATCAGAGTTGAAGAAGCAAGACATTGCAAACAACCTAATTATCTGATAATTGCTGCTAAAATCAGTTTGGAATTTGAAGCTGGAGCAATAGATCCTTTCTGTAAACATTTCTTTTTGTCCAGAATGCTTCTATATCCAACATGACAATATATTGAAAAGCATCAGTTCCCAATGGGATTCAATATTAGAGACTCAGATTCACTAATGGAGCATCTCAACGGTAATGGGCACCTGGTAGGAAGACCACAATCTAATTGAGGAGCTTCCGAACAAGGATCCCGTGTGATAAATCAGCTGTATTTTCCCGGGAGCGAGTTCCAGTACAGCCTGTTGTGAACCACTGCTTTTTGACCCAATAAAAATATTGATTCAGACAGTCAATTAATTGAAAGTACCATTGCAGCTGGAGGCCATCGTATAACCAGATCTGAATATTGCGTTACTCACAGAAACCACGTTCACATAGTCATCGTCAGAAAGCGTTTCCAACATCTCAGAGACTGAAGTCCGAATGAGTTTCAGCGTTAGTCCACTGACACTTCCACTCCTTTAAAACAGAACAATGGAAGAGGAAAAACGGTTCGTTCTCCGTAGTGGAAACCCACTCTTCTAATAACTCTTTTGTATTGTACAGAGTATGCAATGCAATTTATCACTGAGAGGATTGGTCAAACATGTGAATCATGCAGCAGACTTTGAAAGGGAGGGGGAAAGAGTTGATGGGACCCCAGTGCGGAGTTCCAGATAGTGAAGGCAGAGAGGCTGATTGCTTGCCCACTGATGATGAAGCAGATAAGGATAGGGGACATGGAGTAAGCTGATTTTCGCTGAGCAAAGGTGACGGAGGTCGCAGAAGTAGGATGGGGCAAGGACATGGAAGGATTAGCTGGTGATTATTGGTGATTGATTACTTACACATCCACAAGGATAAGCATGTCCTTAGGTGATGCAGCTCCTTGAATGTACCTTCAAGAAAAGAGCATTGAGTCAGCATCAAACCTTTAACGTTACATTATAATAATAATCCGTGCATTTGATATAACACCTTATCACGCCTTTGAGATGTCTCAAAGTGCTTCACAGAATATACTGTGAAGTGAATTGACTGTATATTTTGTGGGCGAAACACAGCAGCCAATTACGAACAGCAGTGTCCCACAAACAGTCGTGGATTGAGTGAACAAATTATAATTTTTTTTGTTTGCGAGGAGACATTTCACAAAAAAAACACCAGCGGTTTCATCCAAGCAATTTTATTATCATTTTAAATTCTCAAGCAGGTGTTATTTAAGTTATTGCTCTTCTCTAAAAGGGGTTCTGCAAAAACTCTGGTTACAGTTACGATTCAATAAATTTCATTTTTGTTTTGATTCTGAAAAAAATCAATAGAACTTGTAGCCCTAATCAGCGTCAAGGTAGTCAAACTTTCCCTACAAACATGCTTTACATTCAGTAAATACACTGAAAGATGTCTCAGTCAAGAATGTCATTTTTTAGCCGTGACTGATTTATGGAAATTAAACAGGTGGGTGGATGAGCCGTCAGTTTGTTCAGGTGGACCATAAAGATCCCATGGCACTATTTGAAAAGAGAAGGGAGTTGCTCTCTCCTGGCATCCTAGCCAACAATCCCCCAGATAAAATTGATGAGTTACGTCAAGATAGCTTGCCAGACATTGCTCTGCAGAAATTGTCTGTCGCATTTGCCCACAAAAATACAGTCACTATACTTTACAGTAAATCCTATGAAACACTTCGAAATATCCTCTTGACATGAAAGCTACTTTATCAATTATTTGTGAAATACTGCCGCGTTTCGTCCACAAATATACAATCAATTCACTTTACAGTATATTCTGATATTCTGTGAAGTGCTTTGAGGTGTTTCGAAGACATGATAAGGCGCTATATCAAATCAAGGATTATTATTATCATAGTAGATTATTTAGGATTATTGTTGTTTATTCTGTAATGACAGACTGAAGATATTCTCTAATCATTTTAACCAGTGGAATATGTATTCACACAATCTATCTAATCTTTCAATGGTGTGAAGGATGTGATGTGCTAACAATAATAAATCCACTCAATATAACACCGTTCAAATCAAGAGAATGTCTCAAATTGCTTCAAAAGATATGCTGTAAAGTGAAGTGACTGTATTTTATGGGCAAACATGGCAACCAATTTGAACACCTGAATGCCCCACAAACAACCATGAAGTTCATAATAATAATCCTTGCATTTGACATTGCGTCTTATCACATCGTTGAGACGTCTCAAAGCACTTCACAGTATACACTGTAAAGTGGATTGCTTGACTATATTTTGTGGGCGAAATTTATTTTTAGCATGATCCATTTTATTTGAGGGATTGTTGGCCAGGACACTGGTAGAAACTCAATTCAACTAACAAAAAATACATTTTAATCAGAATATGACATCTGTTACAAAAGTAAAACATTCTCAAAATTATTTAGAAGTCTTAAGTGAATCCAGCGCTTGATTAGCAAGCACCCCTGAGCTCATTTTTTATTAATGAGGGAGAAAAAAGCTGTCATATACAAACGGGTTTTCAGTTTAATGGCTTAAAGCAAACTACAACGATAAATATAAAAACAATTTAATTTAATTGTACTTAATGAGAACTGGGAAAATCTTTTAAAACAACTATCTGAAGATCAGATCACATTTACTACTGCATTTGAAAAATAGCTCACAAGATTTAAGAATTAACAGCTACTAATACTGTTGCAACAAAAGGAAAATGAAAATAATAATAATAATCCTTATAGCTCCTTAGAGACGTGATGATTAACTGTGTATTTTGTGGGTGAAAAATTGGGCAGGGGCAAAATTCAAAAAATAGTAAATAATGCTTACATTTCATTTAGTGTCTTTCACGTAAGAAACACATCTCAAAGCATTTCACAAAATATCATAAATTTGCAGGATTTATTATATCTAACAATAATACTTGCATTTGATATAGCAACTTATCATGTCTTCGAGACGTCTCAAAGCGCTTCACAGAATATACTGTAAAGTGAATTGATTGTATATTTTGTGAGCGAAATTTACAATTTAACAAATGTAAGTTTTTTTATTTAAATTACTTTAGACCTTGATTTGACATGAAAGGCGCTTAGGTAAATGTTGAATTGCTTTTATATAAAAAGAGGAGAGGAAAGCTTAGATTAACTTGCATTGAAAATCTCACAGAGCAAACATGTGCACAAAATTTGGACTTTGTCCATTTCCAGAGGGCTATTTGATTTTAGAGAAGTAGCAGATTTAACACCAATGTTAAATCCACTTATTCTCACCCTTGAGATGCCTCTGAGGAGTTAAGGGATTAGCTTGTAACTACGATGGTAGATGCATGTTTGTAACACTATTTACCCCAAATGAACCTCAGTGAACAAGAACTGGAGCAAACCTCACAAACCATCGTCGAATGCTTTTAACTTCTGGACCAAAGTGAAATAATCCTACGGAACCATCACAATTACTGCCAATATTCAGCGCTAGTGTGCTATCACCAACAATTCCTGCTGAACAATTTATTTCTTTTTTATGGATTTCTTAACTAAAACACCTGAATGGAGACTCATTAACCCCGGATCTGGAAATACATGGGGAACATCACTTTGACTCAAAGGAAACCAGTTTCGAAAATAGAATGAGTTGGGTGGGAGTGGCATTCCGGCAAGTCATTGTCAAGGTGGTGCACTCATTTCTTATCAAAAATTCGCACAAAAATCAATCCCACAACATGCAAATGGCTCGAAGTTGCACAAAGCTGCACAACAAAGCACCATCTCTCCCTAAATGCCATGTGTTAACACAACACACAGCAGAGGTAATGTAACTGAGTTTTAAAATGTAAATCTGGAAGCGATTTCAAAGCCCTGAACAAAACAATAACTGGGCCACAAGGGAGAAGATTCCTATTGAGTGCCTCTAACTCATTGTGATTTTTAATCTGATGGTGGATTCCCTGCTGGCCTCATACTTTCACCTGATTTAATATTGCACAGTACAAAACACACAAGCAGTGAAGACTTTGCTGCCTGGAGCTTTTGCCTTGACTTCAGACATCCTTATTTTTTATTGCAATAGAAGAGCAACACTATGTACTTGAGATTAAAGCATCTCTGATTCAGAACGAATGAGTTCTGGGGCAGCAATAAAGTTCCAAATGAAGGTGCAAATGAAGACCATGTAGGCAAGACATTATTGTGTTTGAAATAGTACATGGTGCCCTTTAAATTGGCAAAGATTTTCAACACACCAGTACCAAAAGGAAAATCTAATGTTGTGGGTGCTGTTGTAGGTGAAAGAAGCTGCCAGTTGCAAGGGGAGATAAGTTGGGAGAGAAAGGAAAATGAGTTGGAAGGAAACATTTCAAAGGAACGTTGTGCAGATATAGGGATGGAAGAAAAAACATTACATTTTTATTCAATAGATCTTAAGGCTCAGGCACCACTGATCTGAATGCGGTGTGCTAACCAGTTGGATCATTAAGATCTAATTTAAGATCTAATGAGCAAACTAAATTTGTTGCGTCAATTATGATTTCCATTTCACAAGAAGCAAATGAATTTTTGAAATTGCAAATTGGATATTGCAACTTAATGCACCAAAATGTGTTTTGCAAATATCGCAACTTGTACGCCAATGTTTAAATGCTGCTTGTGTTAAACCAGGAAATGCAGCACAGAGGCAGCATTAACTGTCCTGACATAAAACAAAAAAACACTTAGGAAGCCCTTCTTAACTTTGAATAGAATGAGCTCAATAATTATGGAGAATCTGAAGATGAGTTTACAGTCTACAACTATTAATTCTGTGAGATGAGAATTAGCCGCTCATTTCACCAAATGTAGTGATATTGGAGGGATTCACCAACAGGGGAAATTGTTAATATTATTAAATAGTAGAGAGAGGACACTCTGACTTAATTTGTTAAAATGTTCTGTCTAATTGCCTGGAATCCCATTAACTGCACTGTTGGCTTGTAACCCGAAATCAACACCAAAGGCTGTGAAACCACACAAGTATTTTTAACTACAGAATGTCTACACTTACAAGGAACACAGCATTCACCCCACATCCAGCATGTCCATTGGAACCTGTGAAATCACTATTGAATGTTGCTTTATAATTGCACGAGTTAAACAGAAACACCAAGGCTGTTGAATAACTCACGGCACCATCAGCCAGCCTGATATTTTAGTCTCGTGCATTATATTGCAGCTTTGAATTCAGATTAGATCAAAACATCCCTTGAGGCAATAATAAATATGAAAAAAAACTGTTAGTCAAAATTCTTAACCATGATTAGATCCTCAAATATGAAATATTTCAGCACTTCCTAGCATTCTAGGTTTCTTTGGTTTATAATAGTCTGTGGCAAGAATTCCGTAATTTGATTATAAACTGTCTCTTCCTTATAGCAGTCTGTTTTGTTTTAGCTCAAAATCCTGAAAACTTCAATCAAAGCATTTTAAAATTCCTCACTTATCTGACTGGTTAATGACTTGCTAAACTAGTACCTGGAGCTGTTGATTTTACACAGTGATTCCTCCAGATTGAAAGTAAACCAATAGACTTACCCCCACCCCCCACCCCACTCAATTACCCTGGTTTACATTCCCTTTCTTAACCAAATTTACATCCAAATTCAAATAAATTGTCCAACAACAACAATTTGCACCCCTCACGCAGGGTAGAGTCCCAGAGCGCTTGTTCCTGAAGCCAATGAAGGTTGTGGGTTCTCGTCCCATGTCTCACAACCAGGACTTTGAGCTCCTAGACAAGGCTGACCCTCCAATGCAGTGGTGGGGGTGTGCTGCAATGTCAGAGGTGCCGTTCTATGGAGGTAGACAGCTCTTATGGACCCGGGTCTAGACAGTTCCTATGGAGCTATCGAGCAGATGAGCAGATGGTGGACATTGAAGATCCCATGCACAACTCAAAAAAAAGAAGGAAGTTTCTCCTGGTTTCTCCTAGTGTCCACGCCAACAGTCACCCAAATAAAATTGGTATTCACTTCATGTCTGTATACAAATGTAATTTTGTTGTTGTTGTCTGTAAGACAGTGCTGTGGCCCAAACTATCTGCTGCATTCATCTGCAAATACACAATCACTACACTGTACAATATATCTTGGGAAGTGCTTTGAGACTTTTTGACGACATGATAAGGCATTGTATCAAATATATATTATTATTCAGCACTTTGCTATTTATGGGATATTACCGGTGCAAATTAGCTGCCTTATTTGCATATACATAGATATTTTAAAAATCACTTTCACTTCTAATCAATTATATTTTACAAAGTGCTTTGCAACATTTATTTTTATTGTGTATCTCTCATGCATAAATACATAATTATATAAGTGGAGTAAACATAGAAAGGGAAACTTAGATAAACAGGGCCCAGCAACAAGGACTCGATGGGCTGAATTCCTTCCTTGTGTGCTGAAAAAGGCTATATTTCTGTAAAAGTTGAACATTTACAGTACAAATATCTGGGGTAGAAATTCCACCTGGGTCTAGTTTAACATAATTTAGAGCAGAATTTGTCAAATTGAGTATTAACTTGGAAGCCGTTTTTTTGCAGTTTTTAAAATTAATTAGTTGTTTTCAAGAATTTGTCAAATTCTGAACGCTCTACACAAATAGAATAAATCAGGACCCAGGAGGAATTCCTCCCCTATTGTCTGCAACAGAAAATGAGTCCACATTTCATTACGTTCCATTTACCTCTTAGGAATTTAATCCACAGGAGAGAGGGTATAGCCAGGAATATATTTTCCACTTATAAATATTCTAATAAAAATCAGACTGATGGCACTTGCTTCTATGTGACTAACTACAGTATAAGGCACTGCCTACCTTGAGGTTATAGGTATTTAATTGAATTGTTTGCAAATGAGGTCAATATCTATTGCAGGTCAGTGCTCAGCCCTCTCACCCATCCTATCCGTCAAAATCTGCGTTACATTACGATAGTGCATATAATTAAATTCAAATAGAATAACAGGGCCATTGAAAGGTAACATAAATCAATCCCTTGAGAACATACCAGTGCAAAAATAGAGATAGCACTGTGATTTCATTATTATGTGCATTTGATGATTGTTAGACTAATTCTCTTCACAGAGCATAATGCCATCTTCACTGCATAATTTGTAAGTTGGGTTAAACATGTGCAAACCCACAAAGGTGCTTTTAATTATATAACTGATCACATTTCGCCCACAATAGACACAGTTAATTCACTTTACAGTATATTCTGTGAAGCGCTTGGAGACGTCAAATTCACGGTTTATCATTATTGAAAAGAAATCCAATGAACAGCTTAAGCCACTCAGCATTCTAATGCTATCCACCACCTCTCCTCCCTTCACCGTGTCGGTGATGTGCACAACCAAATATTGTGCATCCCTCGCCGTAGTCAGTCAAGCTGAACCCCTGGTTGAGCATTCCAATTTCTAGATGTGTTGCGGCAAAAATAATAATCATGTAGCATTTCTAAACAGTTTTGAGGCAGGAGATGCCATCAAATAAACAAACATTACAAATGTCAGAAATGCTATAATTAAAAATGACTGTTTGCACAGCAGGTAGGAACTCTGGAGAGCTTGAACACTCTGCACAGTAAAATCTAACCAGGGGAAAAATTTTGCCCTAGATTTTTAAAAAAAAATTGCATGAGCATACTGTCTGCTCAAATACAAAACTACACTGTTTTTGTAACAAAAAAAATCCATGGGAGTGTTGTTGAGAAATGACCAGAGGTTTATGCAATGACACCATTAACAGTGTTATGGAAAGCTCGGAGCCCCACATAACACAACTGCATTCTCATTATATTTGAGTGACACTAATGAAATACTATTGTGCCTGCAATGTACTAATGAGACTGCTAATACTTGCAGACTGAAATAATCTCACCCATACAAATCTTATATTGTATAACTGAAGGCAGTGAATTCTGTTCACTTTTCTGTCTTTCTGTTATTGTTCATTTCCAATTTTTGATTTTTTTTGTTTTCCTTTTCTACCGCCTGGCAAAAATCTTTTTTTTTGTGCGTTCCCACACCTGCAACAACAACATGCATTTATATAGCGCCCTGCATACGGGGTAGTGCCCCGGAGGCCTTGACAGTGGCGGAGACTGACAACGAGCCGGGGGAGGGGAGAGGAGACCATAAGCACGATCAAAAATCCCGCAAAGAGCTTTCAAATGTCCTCTCAAATTGAAAGGAGCTATAACACGTGTAAGATTAATTATTATTATCTTTATTATTATAACATGGGGTCTGAGTTTACGGACTCAAACCAACCATGTTAGAACATGGTCACCCTGTATAGATGCACCTGAACCCCAAACTCTCAGAATATTCCACCATTCAATATATATTAACCCCAAATAAAAACAATACCAAGGTGAATTATGGCTTTATTGTAGAATCTTGAAATATTTGTGTCACAAAAGATTGTTGTTGTTATTTAATTTTTTTTAGTGAAAAGAGATAATTTATGGTAAGACTCTCTTAAGGATTAACGATTAAGTATAGATTGAATAATCCTTGGATTTGATATAGCATCTTTCACAGGAGGAGAACATCTTAAAACACTTCACACTTTCACAGTAATGTATACTTTGCGTGGATGATTTCAGCAGCTATTTGCTCACAGCTATAATAATAATCCTTGCAATTGATATAGCTGTCCCACAAACAGCCACAAATTGGTCAATCGATTTTATCTGGGCTAGATAGTATCACAGGAACTGTAATATCTATCTGAACAGGTAGTCGGACCTTGGTTTAACATCTCATCTGAAGAACGGCACCTCTGACAATGCAGAGTACCCAGATATTGGAGTGTTAGTCTGGACTGTGATTTTAAAGTTCCGATGCGGGGCTTCGAAAGGAAAAGAATTTTCAAAGCAACATAAACACACAGCTCCATCACAGAGTGCAAATGATAGTGTTTTATAATCACTCTTCCTTTCCGGCCATGTCTATCCATTAACTTGGCCATAGTAAAAGGCACCAACATAACACCACAAGAAATAGTACAAGGACTACACTTACCATGGTCTCCTCCGAACATCATACAAGTCAATCCTGTTGGAAGTTTTTGTCAGATCCACCCATGGAGAGGCTGGAAAATAAAGCAGAGAACAGATGTGATACGAAGCACTGATTACATAGTTATACACAACATTATAGCACGGAAACAGGCCATTCGGCCCTGCTAGTCTGTGCCGCAGTTTATACTCCACACAAGCCTTCATCCCTTCTAATCCCTTTACCCATGCTTCTCTACAACCACAACAACCTGCATTGTTATATTGCCCATCATGTCCAAGGTACATTAGATTGGGTTGAATTAAACCATTGTGCTGATCACCATTTTACATGTATGAACCATTTGCACCATTTGCACATGTATTCGAGAGAAGTAACTAGGGAGATGAGGATGGGGTGGGAAGGTGGGTGCGTGACTGGGAGAGCAGAAAAAACAGATGGTAAAGGGGCTCCTTTCAAATCTCAGAGTCAAGGCTCCATATGGCTAATAGACAAAGAAAACTTTACACAAAAGGAAGAAATTTAGTGTCTCTAATGGATGGGAAACAGTTTATCTACTGTATTAATGATTTGAAATCTATTAGAAAACAGATAGATCAATAATAATAGGAATCCTTGCATTTGATATAGCGCCTTTCACATCGGAAGGACATCTCAGGAAATACTGTAAAGTGTAGCGACTGTGTATTTTGTAGTTGTATTCTGATATTCTATCAGCAAATTTCTTCCTATTGGGTTCTTTTACTCAACACAATTGCTATTTCGGAGTCAGCACATGAATGATAATAATCCCTCAAAAATTAAACAATAATAAATTGATCACTTCAATCCCCGACTGTTTGTGGGACACTGCTGTGCACAATTTGCTGCCACATTTCTCCCACAAATATACAGTCAATTCACTTTACAGTACATTCTGTGAAGTGCTTTGAGACGTCTAGAAGAAGTGCAAAGCGCTATATCAAATGCAAGGATTATTATTATTATGATTATGATGATGATCAGAATGGTCTTCTGTATTGTAAAGTTCTATGGTAATTTGGGGGAAAACATCATGAATGCTTATTTTCTGCTTGGCATGTCTGTCTGTCCTCTCTCTCTCTCTTTCTCTCTTCTCTGTAGCAGAGCTAGTAAAGCTGCTGGAGATCTCTTTGGTGGCACAAAGCACAAATTCAATAAACTCCTCTTTGCTCGGTAATGAGTCTTGATATTTGTTTTAATGACTGAATAAATTACTGTGATCTATTTCGCATCAACCCAGAACGGCCGGTGTCAATGCTCAAACTACCTAAGGGCAGAATCCATAAAATTCCTTTAAAAGGGAATTAGATAGACTTGAAAAAGAGGAATATTAAAGGGAGCAGACAGCTCACTGGTGATAATTATGATATTCTTGATAAATGTGCTCAAGTAGCAGTCAAGACAGTCAATAACTGAAGTTTGGCAATGGGTTCCCTTACCTGCGCCCACACCCCTCAATTGTGTCACAATGGTTGGACCTGAAGCAGGGATGGGCTTTGGACTCGTTGCGTGGATATGATTTACTGATTTGATTTGTTGTGTTGAGTTAAGCAAACACCCTGCAAACCTCAGCCGATAAATCCGACAGAGTTGTGACTAGCTTTGGGCCTAACAGCAACAACAAATTACATCTGTGTCGCGCCTTTCATGTCAGGAGGACGTCCCAAAGCGCTGCACAGTCAGGGATCCGCACCTGAGCTGGTGGTTGGGATCAGGAGGGGCGGAGAGCGGAGAGGGTATGGGTAGGAGGGTGACCGAAGGCGCGGTTGAAGAGGAAGGTCTTCAAGGAGGTCAAGGGAGGGAGTGATGTGGTGGGACTGTGGGATGGAGTTCCAGAGGGTGGGGGCAGAGAGGCTGAAGGCCCGCCCGCCAATGGTGGAGCGGGCAAAGTGAGCGACGTGAAGCAGGCCGAAGCCCGCTGAGTGGAGGGAGTGGACAGGCTGGTAGGGGGCCATTGTTATGGAATGAAGGGGATGGAGAGGTGGGTGGGTGATGGTCACCTTTGCAGAACACATTTGGCAACCAAGTTTTCAGCCACCCTGCACCCCGCACCCCTGCCCTCCCACTTTCTGGAACGCTATCCTGGACTCGGCTCCTCCCTCCCCACTTTCAAAGCCCATCTCAAGACTCACCTCTTTGACCGCACTTTTAGTCATCTTACCCACCCAGCCTCCACAGAGAGCTGTGCTCCCGACGTGAAAGTGACTGTATCGACGCAAGTTATATTGTAAGTGTATCATTTTTAATTATCGAACGACCACATAGACTGAATTAATCAACAACACGATAATTATAATAATCCTTAGATTTGATTTTTTTTATTGTGAGAACGCAGATAAATCTGGATGAGGAAATTATCACTGATGATAATGGGTACGTTGTAGGTCACTATTTTCACCCTAAAGATGGTTGCCAGGCAACGGCTCGTCTTCAGCTCACAGAACACATGCAGAAACATTTACCTCAGCCCACTCTTTCCCGATTGAAATCTGTTAAATCTTGTGTCCCTTTTGGTGAGCGCTGACATTTCACTGCATTCCTTATTCACTGAGAGAATGAATGCTGTAGCACATACATCTTTCTTATACAATCAGAAATGGGCTTTCAGCACAGCTGTACCCCTAGGAATTGCACAGATCTTCCATCAAATTCCATTTCTAAAGTGCAATCGATGCCCCCGCCACCTTCCTTCCCAATCCTTGGCTTGTTAGTCAGACCCAAAATATGAACCTATCATTCTCTTTCAATGCTGTTTGACTTGCCGAGCCTCTGTTACATTTTAGTTCACATTATCAACATCCAGGCTTTTTTTTGCGGGGGCTCTTCTTTTCATCCCTGACTCACTCCTTAACTGACAGATCGAGGCTGACAGGCACCACTATCTCTGATTCATCAAACAACTATGACACAATGGAAATCGTGTTGAGTAAAAGAACCCAATAGGAAGGAATTTGCAGACAGAGCATCAGGTTCACGCAAAGCGTGCCTGACATGTTGTCCCTGTGGAGTAGGGCTCGGTTTTAGTGCCGCACAAGGCCAGAGCAGTCTAAGTATAGCACGTTCAGCCTCCTCTAGACTCTACCTATTCACTCAGCTTCTCTCAATTACATGCAGTATTTTAACATAGACTCACTCTAAATAATCCATTTCATGCACTTTTATGCAGCCTGGGTTCAATCAAGCTTGGCTTCCTGTGGTTTGCTTTAATAAACACAACATTCTTCTTTGATAATAAAGAGAGACAGATGATTCCCTCCACCCGCCTGCACACCACCCCTTCCCTCAACTGCTCCCAAGACCACTGGCTCCAGTGTTCAACAGTATGCTTCCCGTTGCCCGAGTATGCTTCCCGTTCACACTGATTTTCTGCCAACAAAATCCCTGCCAAAAGCAAAGCAATCTATTTGTACTAATATGTGCAGTGTGAAGACACTATAATTTATTCGCTCAATGCTGAATTGCTTTCGGAGAGCAGTGGGCAGCAATCTCGATTCCATTGCATACTGACTGACAACGTCCACTTAATGCTGCAGCAAGCTTAGCCGATGCGAGTCAGTGGGCAACAGAGAAAACAGTTATCTGGTACACTATGACTCTTTGTTCAGTTGTTTAGTGCTCGAGTCAAAAGACAGATTAAGAGTTTATAAAGAAAAGGCAGGCCCCTCCACAGGCTAAAATTACAGACCCTATGTTAACTCAAGTTAGAAGGTTATGCTTCAAGGCTTAGTTGAGGAAGGGCAGGAGGAGGTTCATGTAGATCACAAACACCGGCACAGACCAGTTGGATCAAATGGCCTGTTTCTGTGCTGTATGTTCTAATGTATTCTAATATATTCTAAGTTACAGTAGCAGTCTGTCTAATGTACAGACCTCAGTGAACAGACAGTTAGTTTCTTGAGGTCTGTTCAATTCTGCTCAATCCGTACAACTTGTCTCCTGTCTCCAGTAAATCCAATCATTGCTGAAAAAAATTCTAGAAAAAGTTTTCACTATGTTTAAAACACATTGTGAACATAACTGCAAAAATGTTTTTGATCTAAGCAGGGAAATATGATTAATTTGAGCCTGAGGGGAAAAGGTTAGATTACATTAAAATATATAATGCATTTTAGTGCTTTGAAATGAAAACATGTGTTGAACCTGCAATGTTAAAGTTAGTATTTGCTGTCATTCTCACATTCAATTTTATTTTAATAAAGAAGTTTCTGTTTGTCAGATTGTATTAAATTTGAGTCCTGCCATTCCATTCACTTCAACCTGAATTCTGGAATTATAATCACCTAAAGCATTGCACTAACAAACAAACACTCTTTCTAGGGCTAATTTGCATCTGATCTCTGCACAAAGTAACTATCCAGATTCCTGCTGCTTCTTCTGGGAAAATAAAATATCACACACTGGGTTTGAGATAGTAACTCTTCTGCTCTTAACATGTTCAAGAATCTAATCAATGCATTAAAATCACGTGAGTCAGATGAACTAAGACTCTTTCCCAGTGCATGTTGCCTTTTTTTCTTTGTGCTCTGTATTCATGCTCAAATTCAGTAATTTTACAGTAAATCGTGTGAAGTGCTAATGGAACGTCCTGCTGATGTGAAAGGTGTAATGTAAATGTAAGGTGGGAGCTGGAAAGGGAAAGCTGACGGAAAATGTGGTCAAAGACACAAATCTTGAGGTCTTTTAACGTAGATAAGGAGGGGAGGCCAGTGAGTGAAATACCAGCCAGATATGATTAATACACCACCCAATGAAATGGATAAAATAATAACAACAATCCTTACATTTGATATAGCCCCTTATCATGTCATCGAGACATCACAAGGCGCTTCACAAGATAGACTGCAAAGTGATGTGATTGTGGGCGATTACAGGTCATTCTCTAAAATCTTTTCAGTGGCTAACTTCATAATTAAGAACACATGAATGCATTTAAATATGTTAGTCCATGAAGTATTGGTCCAAATCGCATTTTAGACCCGTGTCAATTGAGTGAAAAGACGGATTGAGCAGCTTTCAGTTAAAGGGAGATTTTATATGTAGGCACAGGATGAT